ACATACGCAACAAATGCATAAATGACCTCACGAAAAAGATCTCACCACACTTATCATATCTCATTTCGTGTTGCTCACTCCTCGAGAACACATATCTCACCTCATCGCCAACCATGCTCACTAGACTAATCACTCAAACAAACATGTCTAACTGGTAAGTCTTTATAGATCCTAAGTTATCGGGATAATCCTCTATCACCACATCACTCCTCCAACCTAAATGGATAATGGGTCTCTACCTGATAGAAGTGCATCTCTCGCACTCCACCTGATCATGGTCTCTTCCAGATAAAGGATTCCAAACATTTGATCACATCCAAACGTCACACTCCACATCCCATGGTACAAACCACAATATATCCCTAGGCATCTATACTCCATCTTACCAAAAGACATATATACACGCTGCTAATGCATCCCAAATCCACTATGGCAAATCAACACATTTCGGCTACAACAAAGGTTAGGGCTCAAATTTAAATTGACTCACACACCACAATACTCCAACACCAATGCTCTACAAATCCACAAAGAATTTTTCCAACAAAGGGAAAGGTGAAGGTGGTACTCACAAAGAGATTAGAAGAAAGAGTTGGTTACTTCACAACACTCACAAAAGAGGCTCACACAGAGAACGAAAATAACCCTTACAGGCTGCCCCACATAATCTCACAGACCACACAGGCTCACAAAAATGAAGGAGAAAATGGCTGCCTCGCTTACTTCTCACTACCACACTTTCTTACACCACTCACAGAGCAAAACGAAGTACGCCATAGATCTCAACCTACTATGCACGCAAACACATTACACAAAGTAATAAGATCACTCCAATTCATGCCAATGCACTTATCAAACACATTGAAATGCAACATATAATCATGCAGCAGAAATGAGCAATCACACACATGCAGAAATGATTACACATGGATGCAAATGCAGTAACTAGAGTAACACTCAATAGGGTTCACTAGGGTCATTACTCGACCCTAAAACCAGATTCGTCTCACCTCTCATCTTACCCTACTTCTTGGGACAATCCCTAATGAAGTGTCCAGACTTACCACAGGTGTAACACCGTCTACCACCAGACTTGTCCCAACCCTTGCTCTTCTTCTTATCACCCTCATCACTCGAGTCACTACTCGAATCACTGTTATCTTGAGCTCTACCCAAACTCATTTGCTTAAACTTCATTCTACTCCTCATCATATGCAACTCGCCAGTTTGATTATCTTCTTTTTCAACATTAATCTCCATTTCCTTACTCCTAAGGGAATAGATTACAATCTCGGGAGTTAAAGTGTCATTACCATACTTAATCGCATTCTTAACCTCTCTATATGACTCAGACATAGAATTAAGCAAAATAATGGTCTTCTATGTTTCAGACACTTTCTCATCACAGTTAACGATATCTTGCACCAACTTGTTAGAAATATCAAAATTGTCATCTAGATCCTTTAAAGGATCCATTTTAAAGCTAAAAAAATTTTCAAGCAAGTACAACTTATTTGGAGTAGATTTAAGCAAATATAAATCCTCAAACTTTTTCCAAAGTTCTTTGATAGAATCGAGTTTCCTAACTATTCTCAAAATAGTGTCAGACGGGTGTACAATGATAGAAGTGTATGCAAGTTCATCATATTCTTCTTTTTGTGCTTCTGTAAAAAATTTCGAAAATTTGCCATCAATGGCTTTTGAAACTTTTTGTTGGACCAAAGTACCCTTCATCTTTTGTTGCCAAATTGAAAAATCATCTTTCCCGTTGAAAATCCCAATTTCGAAATGTGACGACATTTTGAAAAACAAAACAACCAAAAATGTACAAGTAGGTCACATAGAGTAATCTTAAGACAACAATATACACCGTTCTAGATTCTCAGGGTTTCGTAAGATTCACCATCTTAGATCAAGGGAATGTTCGAACGGGTCAAGCCAAGGTGTTCTAACGGAATAATCAATGCAACACGAAGGTACGCTAACACAATTCAAATTTCCACGCAAAACAATCTTACACATAGATAAAACAACAGTTACAGCACAAAAGCAATTAACAACTTGCAGTTAAAACAGACACTTCAAATAGAGCAATTAATTCCTAAATTTCTAACACAAGCAATGGTTACCCCTTCATGGTAACCTCAATCCTAATGTCACCCCACAAGATGACGCGATAATACTGAAATTTAAACGGGATAAACCAATTTATCAGAGCGGACCTATCTGAATCCGTAAATTACGAGAGATGCGAATTTACTACTTAAGAGCCGTAATTTGTGGCCTAAAGTAATTCAGTAAATGTTTTGCAGTTCAACCGTCGTACTCACCGAGAGCAAAATCGTCTAACTTTTCCTGCGTAACCTGAAACACTAAACCAAAAATATCAATAAGTTCAGGGAATCAAGATTAACAAACTGCCTGAAGAAGTCAAGGTCAGAAAATGCCCCCACGCGCCGAACACCTCTCTGCGTGTGGGCCACACGTGCCGTCGGGGAAGCTCACGCGCCGGTCATGGAGCAGCTCCTCCACCTGATGAGTCCACTGGTGGTCTTGGTTTCTTCAGATGGTCACAGGTTCGCCCAGAAAACTAGTTTGCAGGTCCGGCTTTCGCACAAGAATCTGAACAGTTTTTCACTTCAGTTTTTGCCGATTTTCTGGTCGATTTCTAATCAGAATTTGAACCCCAATCCACCACCAACTTGCTCTGATACCATATGTTTGGAAAATAATGAGCAAATTGACCGGACTCAAGCCCACACCACCAAACCCAAGTGAGGTTCCAACCCAAAACCAATTGGCAATGGGTGGAGTAACCCACTTAAGTTATATAGTGGATTTCTTTTCTTCTTCCAACCGATGTGGGACTACTTATTTTTCTCCCAACATGTTTTATATCACCATTTTTTGGCGTAATAGCATACATGTTGTTCAGGTCGCTAAGTATCAAACCAAATCGAGGTGGACTATCTTCTTTGTACAATTGTTTTATGTTTTAGATTTTGCTTTCAACAAAACTATTATTCTTAGATTTGATTTTTGCTATTATGATTAGGTGTATAAATTGTGTCAAGTACGTTTTGATGAGGGCACATGCCCTTTAAATCTAGCATCGTGGGTTTTCGAAAACATTTTCAAAATTTGTTAATCTATCAAGTTTCGATGAATTTTCAATCTTTAATTTTTAATATTAGAAAATCGATTACTTGTTGAGAAAATTGAACGATTATAAAAATAGTATACTTTAACAATAAATCTTATCTAAAATATCCAGATAACTTTAAATTAAATCATAAACAAATTAATGAGCCTAAAAGAGAGATTTCTTGTGATAACTTTAAATTAAATCATAAACAAATCATATTTTTATCCCTATTCAATTTATTACTTATTTCCGATTGTTAGATCGATAATCAATTTTCAAGGCTCCGTTCTTTTCAAAATGAGAACGGGATTTTTCAATTCGATTAGCAATAAATTTATAGTAAAAAGAAAGTTTGTCGCTTAAACTTATGTAGAAATATACATAACTAATTCATCTCGTGTTCAAAATTAATTTGAAATATTTCTATTAATTAAAAGAAAAAAATAATTGGATTTAGGGCACAACGAATCCTTAAATCTCTTTAATCATTTTTATATATAACATATAGGTATTATTAAAATGAAATATTAGATATTTTTATCCCATGTATATTTATATTTCAATTCAATTAAAGTATTGTACTATAAAATTAGATTAATAGGATTTAAGACTTGGCAAATGATAAGGTGTTGGCTTTAGGCCCCGTTTGTTTTCTATTAAAAATCAGATTTTAATCTAAATCAAAGTCAAACAATCAATATTAACCACACATTTCATAGGTCTCACAACTTTTCAACCACACATTTCAAAATTTTCTATCACAATTTACTAAAAATCTAATTTTAATCCCCACCAAACACCCCCTTAATCAGTATATATATGACACATAAGTAAATTATTAAAATTAAATATTGGATTTATGATATCTATTGGATCCTATATAAATCCCGAACTAGTATATTTATATTCAATTCGATTAAACTTGAATTATGAAAATAGGGTAATATGATTTAAGACTAGGTAAAAGATAAGGTGTTGATAATTTAAGGGTCTTCTGTATGGTCAATACCAATCTATTGGCACGTGTTGTCTAATACTATCGAATTTTCCTTACTGAATATGTATTGTAAGTCTAATTTTAAACTTATAATTTAGTTGATTGTTAAAAACTCAAAATCAAATTGAGTTTCTTAGTTTAGTTTGAAGATGAGAATTTAGGAAAAAATAAATTATTAATCTAGAGTTCTTTTTTAATTATAATTTAATTTAAACTTATTGGCTCACACGAATACAACCTGGCACGATCTGGTACGTGTTGAGCTTGTGTGTTAGACCTGGCCCTGATAACTCGACACACATTACACACAAGCCCATCCCAATATGGGCCGATGTGGATTGGGCACATTCATATAATTCTTGGCCTTATATTGTTCTGTACAAGTGACTATATCACGGGCCGTATAATTAGGCTTCTATATTGGGCTTATCTGGGCCTAACTGAACTCTTGAGACCCAAGAATAAACTATTCCACAGCATACCAATTAATGAATGCTTTCTTAATAAAGTCTTTGTATTGTACACTTAAAAGTGAGCGAAATTCATCAATTTTGGTGAATTAGTTTGTGCCGAGCAGTTCGATTCGATTTTGATAGACACAAAATAAAGTTTGGACCGACTAGTTCAATCCAATTAATACAAGTACCGTACACGTATAACGAAATAGAACCGTTAAACATCACAATACAAATTAATCGTTGATTTCAATCGATAAATAACAAGAAAAGAAAATATCAATACAAACCAAGATTAAAAAAAACCGTCCGTTAATTAATTATCAATAAAGGTATACCCCGACCATGACTTGTCTAGTAAAATAGATTGTACCACATTTCGTGCATCAAACGGATTCAAACCCTACACATTATCAGCAAATCTCACTTGACCTTTGAACCCACCATTTTGAAATACCTTTGGTCCTCTGGGATCTCCGCGTGCAGCCACTTTAGCTGTAGGGATTCTCTTGTCAAACCCAAATTCTATGTCCTCATTACCTTTGGTCCTCTGGGATCTCCGTGTGCAGCCACTTTAGCTGTAGGGATTCTCTTGTCAAACCCAAATTCTATGTCCTCATCTTTGAAACTAGGTTTTTGTCTAGACTCCCATTCTTTAGGGCCAAGGTCCTGGCCTCGAGCTGGCTTTGCCTTACCACGGTGGTGCTCCTCCTTACCGCGGTGGTGCTCCTTATTACCGCGGTGGTGCTTCCGGTTGCATAGCTGTCCAAACACGCAAGCAATAGCTGATATTACGAGTACCCCAGCCAAGACAATGAAAACAGGCCCAAATGAACCATTAGAATTGGAAGAAGGCTGTTTTGTGTAAGTATCAGGATACACCCGATCAACTGGCTGTGACATTTTTAGATAAATAATAGAGAATTTGATGAAGATTTTGTGTTAATGGGCTAGAGGGTTATGTTCTTCGAGTGAATATAAAGGACCGTTCAAGTGAAGAAATATAGGAAGAGACAAGAATTTGATTGCCAGATTATCAAAAAGGAAATGCTTTCTTCTTTAATAAAGATATTCTTTATGTCCTTTACTGGTCCTTTGAACATCAATACCCATGCAAGAGCTAGGTTGAGGAGCTTTACTTTATAGTGCAATTGTTCGAACGTCCTGACCCTAGGGTGTAAAGTTGGGTTGGGAGGTCTATGATCGAGACAGTCCGACACTTTGGAGAGCTCGGACCACGACCAACTTGACACTTAGAATACACACATTTTAGAGAATGGTCCATTTTACATACCAACTTGTGTAAAAAATGCGATACAGTATAATCTACTTTACACCTTTATAATTCTATTGTCATTTTAAGAGTTGCGTATGTACACAAACTAATACATGGGATGCAAATTTATAGTTAAAGTACAAAAGGGATTCTTTTTGTGGTACAATTAGGAGGTGGGAAAAAAATAGCAAAGTGTGAATCAAACATGGTAGGTATAGATATTCGAAAAATATCATTTAACCCTTTCCCAATTCCCAATAGGAAAAGCCTAATTTTAGCAGAAAGGATCCCTCTTTAAGCTGCATGTAGGGTTTGATGGTGACCAATGATTGGCCAATAAATATTTATTTATAGTCACAAAGATTTAAAATATTCAAAAAATTTCAAGAATTGTGTAATTTGAGTGCTCGTCGAACTTTATTTGTTAATTATATCACGTCATCTTGAATTCTAACTTAGTAAGTTTAAAATTATCGTAGATACAGAAGGTTGTTACCTCAACAATTCATCTTCTCTATTCAGAAAATAATCAAACAATCAAGTCTAATGGGTGGATTGCTTGAGTCCCATGAAAGTTAAATTCTACTTTTAATCAAATAACTAGCGATTGCTTCAAAGAAACAAATTCCTTACTTTCTGCCTTCCAAGATACCATTTGGTCTCTTAACCTTTAAACAATCAAGCAATGATTTATAATTTTATATTTAAGATCCCAATAAAGATTTGTTTCAAAATCTTATCCAAGATAAAGATGAATCTTTGAGTACTAGGGTTTGAGCTTTCTTCTTTGAGTGTACAAATAAAAGTAAGAAATTAATAATTATAGTGGTTTGATACCAAACCTATGTCTACATCCTTATTTCTAGCCTCTAGGGCATACACACAAATAAAAGTATTCTTTTCCAATTTTAATTTTGTCCCTACATTATTGCAATTTGTTTAGTAAAGTAGGTTATGTACACTAAACTAACTACTTGGGTAAATTTTGAATCTTTCAAGTATGTGGGAGTGCTTTTGAATTAAATGTCTAAAAAAGAAGGAAAATGACCCCTATGGGTACAATTATGTACCCATATCACAGCCCAAAATATAGTTAGCACCTAGAAAGGAAATTTTGTATAGATTATGTTAATGCGAGCATCGATGTTGTTAATCCATCATGTGCTTTTAGTTTTTAAGTAGTCGATCTTTACTTAACTTGAAAAGGCTTCACTTAGCTCAAGCAAACGAGTAATGTTCAAAGACTCTCATTACTTTCTCAGGGGACATGTAGAAGCATTCCTTTTTAAAGGATAATGCATCCAATTCAAAGACGTCGATCAATTTTTATAATTATAGTAGTCTTCTTGAAACAAACCGATGGTAAATAAAAAAAATAAAAATCTTATTTAATATGGGGTGGTTATATTAAAACATTTTTTTCGTAAACACGCTATTTAGCCCCCATTTGGCCTCCATTAGCTAAATTACTTTTTCTTTCAAACTTATTTTCAACAACATTTTATGGGACCCATAACTTCTATCAATTTTTCAATTGTACTTTCATAATTTTTTATCAAAATCTACTTCAAAAAATTGATTTTTTATTTAAATCAATCAGGGACTTAATTACATTAATGGTCTTTAACCTTTATTCATCGTCCGATTTATATCTTACTTTTTTTTCATCGTATTCTTATTTTTAACCTATTATTAACTAACAAATAGTCAAGAGACGAGTATTTAGTCATAATTTTGTATTTGTTTTTACTTATTTAAAAATAGAATGGACAAATAAGTCTTTACTATGTGTGTTCGGTAGAGATTAAAATTGAAAAATTAGCCGTTATGTTGACTTTTATTAGACGAGCGAGACCTAATAAAAGCTATATTTTCAATTTTAATTGGATTTTAATCTTTATCAAATAAGCCTTATATCTTAAGGAAAGATTTGAACGTAAACTATCATCCATGTGCATTTCATGATCAAATACACTGGGTACACTACGGCATTATGTCATTCTTTAACCCCGGCTAAAGCGCATTTTAAAATTACCGCTTTTGTTTTCACAAGGAAAGCATAAAATGACACGCATTGTCAAAATTTTATGACCCGTGACCCGGACCCACCAGCAAATATATGACCGTTATTGCAACGTTCCAAATCACCAAATTCAAATATCTTTTTTTATTCCTGGTTACCGTTATGCCACACCCACTGTCATCTTTACCATTCACAAAACTCATAAGTTTCGTTCTTTTCAATCATCTTAGTTTGATAGAAAACTTTCTTGAAAATTAGAGGCTGCACGGTTTTTTCCCCCATTTCCTGTGTTTCTTGATCAAAAATCAGTCTGTGTGCCGGTTTTTTTCTCGATTTGTTGTTTTTTGGATAGTTGAAAAGATCATGGCAGCGTTGGCACCCGGAATTCTGTTGAAGCTACTGAATGGGATAAATACAGGGGTGAAGCCCACAAGTGAGCACAGGAGCTCACTTTTACAGGTTACAGATATTGTTCCTGCAGATCTTGATGAAAAGAATCTTTTGCCGAAACACGGATTCTACATCAAGGTATCAGATTCTTCGCATTCAATTTATGTTAGTTTACCTTTTGAGCAGGATGATCTTGTTCTCAGCAACAAAATGCAATTGGGACAATTCATTTATGTCGATAAATTAGAGCCTGGGTCGCCTGTTCCCATTGTCAAGGGCGCGAAACCTCTTCCTGGGAGGCACCCATTGGTGGGCACGCCGGAACCATTGATGGGATTCAGACAGAAGGGAGAGAAAAATGAACAAAAAATCAATTCAAAATTTTCAGCTCCTAGAAGGAGTTCTTGGGGAATAGGGCCAAATGGGGGTGAGATTATTTCTTCGCCAAGTGTTTTGAAGCCAGTTCCTTTGGATTTTGATCAATGCACACCAGTTAAAGAGAGGCCGCCTAGTGCTGTGAAATTTTCTGGTAATTTTCCAATGTCACCAATGATTCGAGGGAGAACACCACGAGATGGAAGCGCCGGTGGGGTTTTTAGGTCCTCAGTGGGTGGTGCGCATTTGTCTAAAATGGTGGAGGCTAAAGGGGAAAGTCCATTGATTAGGAAAAGTTGTATAACACGCTCAATTTCTAAGTATTTGAGGAGCAAAAGCGTATGTGATAGAGAACAAAGGATTTTCAAAAGTCCCTTCAACACAGCTGTAGGTACATCTTGCCCTTATACATTATATTTACTTGAGCAGACTAATAATGTATTCAAAATGGTTGAAAATTGAAGAAATATACTGTTTTCTTCGTTTTTCAGGAGAAAAAGAGTTCGACTCCTCCTCCTAGTTTGCGGAATGCAAAAATGGCAGCTTATCCCACTGTTACTGATAATGCACAAAGTGACTCGAATTCGAAGATAACTTCATACTCACAATCTCAACCTTGTTATTCAGCCTCCCCGAACAACAGTCTTTCCATTAATTTGCCTGGAAAGCTTTGCATGCTCGGAAAGGTGAATCCTTAATTAGACCGTACTCCATGGTATTAAAGATAAAATAAAAACACGCTATGACTTGTTTGGTAGGATGGACTATGTAATGTCAAGTCGTGTCTAGAATTGTGCAGCAACTCGATGCTAACTCTTTATTGCTAATGCATATTAGGAAGCGGTGCAACAACGAGAAATAGCGCAGAAGATTGCCCTCCAGGCACTAAGAGATGCTACAGCAACTGAGAACATTGTTCGTTCTCTCAAGTACAATTCATATCCTTAAACCCATCTATGATTTTTAACAAATTGTGGAAACCTATTTAATCTCATTTTGTTGCTCATAGGATGTTCTCAAACTTGACTAAATCGGCTAAACCAGAAGCCCCTGCAGCTTGCTTCGACCAGTTTCTCGAGTTTCATAGCCAAATTGCTCAAGTGGTGGCTGAAATGGTGTCTATTCAAGCAGCAACTGAAATGGTACAAACACAAAACGCAGAACCAAAGAAAATCATGGGAAAATACCCCGAAGAAAATGACTCTATTTTACATGAAATAGTCCACAATTCAACGGATCAACACCAAAAACTGGAGTCCAACGCATCAAAAAGAAGAGCTGCGCTTTACAAATCAATCGCAACTTTTCCTGAAACAAACGAACAAAAGACGATTTTGGGAAAACATTTGAGGTCCTCAAATCTTAACCATAAGGCAAGTTTAGAGAATAAAGGAGCAGCCCCTGAAAATGACGAAAACATGAAACCGGCTTCTTCTTGCAGCGTGTCGAATACCATCAAACTGGGAAAGCAGGTCGAAACTGAAGCTGGAAACTGGTTTATGGAATTTCTTGAGAAAGCATTGGAAAATGGCATGAAAAAATCTAAAGGAACAAGAGAATCCGATGCTCAAAAAGTTCCACAATCACTTATTTTGAAGGTGATTAATTGGATAGAGGTGGAACAAAGCAATCCAAGTAAGAGGCCAGTGCATCCTAGAGCTGCACATATAGCCAGGAAGTTTAGGATAAAGATGAAGAACCCTTGACCATTAGGATCATATTTGTGCTTTTTTATACCTGTTGTGTGGATATCAAATATGGCTTGATTATTAAATAAACATCTTATAATATTTCTATCAGGTTGTCTAGAAGTTGATTCTTATTGAATCTTATGTTCTTCAATATGGTTCTAGATTTCTTATGCAAATCTTATGTTTCAGATTATTTTAGATGAAAATCGAGCGTTGTTGCCACCTAGTCCTTACTTTAGTTACTGCACTTGTTGTCATACGACACTCTTCGCATGTCTCATTTACTTTAACACCAGGTGTTGGATATCTTTGTGCTTGCTGGCCATATCAAAATTGTTAGCAAAATTAGATGAAGTTTGATTTTTCTTTTTACTGCTTTGTTTGCTCTTAGACTCCTGCTGCTGCTTGTTAGTTGGGATATCAATCTGTGCTCAATTACCTTTCAAGAAGTGACATCATTGCTACCTCCTCGACTCTTAACGTGATAGTAGGTCTCCAAAATGTTCTGATGGACATCTTTTGGTGTCGAGGAATGTATAGAGTAACGTTCAAGTAGATGAAGATAAATAGACAGGATGAAGATAAATAGACGGAGGACAATTTTTGAATCGATTTTCCAAGACATTATCTTGTTTAGATGACAAATTTGTTGTGACCCACAACTCCAACTGCCCCCTTTGGTCCAAAAATGGCACAAGACACCTTACATCTTGGGCTGAGTAATAAGATAGTGGTTACACATACATGCAAGAGAGTTTGTATCTTCTGGATAATACAAACAAATGCAATCAACACTTCTTATATTGGAATCTCATACTGGCCAACAATCCAGCAGAGAATTGTAAAAGGTGAAAGGGGAGAGGAGAAGAGAAAGGATGGAGCGGGATCGGGGAGAGAGACGAGAGAGAAGCATAAACTGGAGGAGATAAATATAATTTTATTCAATAATCAAGTCTAATTATACTAAAAGACCCTAAAACCCCTCTAGTTCTGCATACTAACCAAACCAAACATGCAGAAAATAGTACAATGCTAGCTATTGTTTTCTGTCTTTCCTTTTCCCAATATTCAAATGTTTCCACATGCCCAATGGTGTAAAATTAATTAACCTTAATGGCTAAATGAGTCATGAAAAGGCATGAATTCGTACCTTTCAATGACCGTGAAATAAGCCTACAGAAGTGTTGAGCTGACCCTATGGACAAGATTTGATAGGAACTCTAATCAAAACTGAATGAGTTTGAGCCCAAAAAAGACCCGATTAAAAATACAAAACGATTCAGAACCTACACAAAGTACAATTCAAACGAAGCAAACAGAAAAACTCAGCCGATCTATGTGCAGATATTGAAGCTAAATTGGACAGAAGTACAACATAATTCTATTTGCAGGTGATACAATCAACCCTGAGCATTACAGATATAATGAAATTCTGAGCTTTGGTTACCAGTCCATTTCCTCCATTAATGGATGCCAAATATGAATAAAGAAAACAATCACCGCGGCAAGAAAATTATGCGTTGCTGAATCCACATAGATCAGATCACACCCTGGACTTCACCGTTAGGCCGGTCTCTACTTTCTTAATTTCAAATATGAGCATCCTCCACATCTTAAGCACAAACATTTCGGCTTCATCATCCAATATACTCTGCAGCCTTTCAAACATCTCACCTGCATCAACATGTTCTTGAGTGCTAGAAACGATATAGTCCACGAGGGTAACCTCTTCCTCTCCCAAAAATTCTGTGATCTTCTTTGATATCCATGGTCTCATTCTCTCTTGCAGTGCATTCTGTGAAGTGAAGGCGCATACAAGAATTGTATCAATTCACAATATGAAGAATTGAAGATAAAGTGAATTATTATTATTATAGCTCGCAAGAACTGTATCTTCTTTCTATTTTTTTTTTCGAAGATATAATGAAATTATTCTACCTCATAAAATAACACCTAGTCATGTACCTGAATAAAGTAAAAAAGGGTTGCAAAGCAAAACTACGAGATCCAAGATTCCATCTTTCACTCTAAGGACCCAATTTAGGAGACATTAACAATTTTGAAGTAAGAAAACTAGAACTTTGCAGTGCTTTAGATTTTAGTGTTGCCATTCTATAGTCCTTTCTGCTTGTCATATAAACTTGAAAGAAACATTTCTAGCAAAGTTCTAATACAACGCAAAAACAAAGCAAATCCTAGGAAAGCATAATCATCCTGAAACAAGGTCTGGCCTAAGATAGAGTTCAGTTCAATATATAGCATAGCTTGTAAAAGACATTCATCATTGAGAAACCTAAAAGATTTACACGAAAGATATTCCATCACAAGAAGAGTCGTTAAAAGAGAAAGCAAATCAAAAGTTTTGGCAGGAGTAATGTTAGTCACCTGATCATAAATTGTCCAATTTATCTCGTACGAAAACAACTCATCTTTGGTCTTTGGAATTGTGTCAATCAACTGTTTAGCATCAAAAAGCTTCTGCTTTTCTAGGGTTTTCACTTTATGTGACCTCTCTCTGTCATAATTATCCTTTCTGCTTTCGTCGCGACTGAGATAACTCTCCTCTTCACGTCTATCTCGATCTCGTTGGCTAGATCTCTCATGAGACCGCTTTCCTTTTTCTTTTTCTTTCTCCACAGGAGGCTTCTCCTCTTTAGAATTTGCTGATATAACACGCTTCACAAATTCTGCAGCTGCAGCCATATTCGTTGATGGGGTCTCAGAAACTGGTTGTTGTTCTTCAGTTGAGTAATCGATTGGAACCAGAGGTCTCATCTTCTTTTCCTTGTGTGCATCCTCGTCCTCATCCTCGTTAAATACAGAAGGGACTGCAGTTCGTTTTCCAGAACCTGAAAGACCAAATCCTAACTTTCTAGCAGGTGCATTGATGTTCTGCTGTGCCTCAGATGCAGAATTAGATGATGTGGCATCTTCATCCCCAATGCCATTTTGTAAACCTTCTTCACCTGCTAATGAAATGACAAAGGTAATATAACAAAGAAGATGGCGTAAATAGATCAACACGATCATGAAATGAAGCAAGAAGAGTTAGCAGTAGTATACTTACCAAAACTGGGTTTGCTATCAGAGGTCTGATCGATAACCTTAACCTTGTTTTCGGGATTGTTTTCATCTGGCAAAATAGCTTTCTCACGTTCATTAGCTGGTTGACCAGACATAACTTTCAATTCCTCCTCTTGCTGTTTCTTCTGCTGTTCTTCCTTTGCTTTCTTTTTAGCCTCCACAATCTCTTCTTCCTCTCTCAATCTATCCGCCAAGTCTTCTTCCTTCTGGGAAACAGAGGAAAAGGACTCATCGTCACTAGTCTTGTATTTTCTCTTTTTTCCATAGCCATCATCATTATCATGCTCTTGGTCTGCAACTTCCCACTTACGTTCCTGTACTCTCTCTTTCTCTTTTTCACGCTCTCTCTTCCGCCAGTGTTCTTTCTCCCTTTCCCTAGTTTCCCACTCTTTTTCACGTGCTTTATACCTACGATCATCTTCACGGCTCCTATATTCTCTATCCTTCTCTCTCTTGGCTCGTTCGTGCTCTCGTTCTCTCTCATATCTTTCAAGTTCCCTTTCCTTTTCTCGTTTCAGATCACGGTCTCGGTCTCTGCTCCTATCATGCCTTCTGCGATCAGGTGACCCAGTTTCAGTTCTCTCCTGCTCACTTGAAAGTTTGCTTTCAGCAGTTTTCTCATCTTCATTTTTGTCTTCTAATGAATCTGCAAAATGAAGTTGAAGCGTGTAAGTAGTGTTTCATGAAAAATATTGTTAGACATTAATCATATTATAACCAACACAATGGAAAGAGGATCGCAACATTCATTCTTACAGTAATTAGTACACTCACCATTTTTTGCCACATCCCCTTCTGGTTCCCTATCCCTTGACCTAGAAGGCTGCTCTGAGTTGCTGGAACCATCAACAGCCATTTGTGGGGGAGGAGGCGGAGGAGGCAGTGGTTTGTTCTTCAGCCTCTCCTCTATCATTCCTGTAAGCTTCTCAATGGCCTCTCGATCAGCTTCTCTATCTTCATCAATTACATGGTCAAACTGTGCAGCATCTGTATCTTCTTTTTTCATTGTTTCGCTGCCATCTTTCTTTTGTTCATCAGATGTAGGCATTTGAGATTCTTCAGAGGACTTTAAAGTGTCATTATTCTCAGCACCTGATGCACTTTCTTCCTCTTTTCTAGCACCTTCAATTTCTGATTCATTGATGATCTTTGAACTCTCTACTCTTTTCTCCACATATTGTTTAAGATATTCCCGAGTTGCTTGATTAACATTCAACTGGAGATGTATCAAGTCCAGAAAATCAGTCATACAAAGTTCATTCCTATTTGTTTTACAGGGCTAGAGAGGAGGTAATTCATAGCCGGTGCATCAGTGATGCGAAATTAACATCAACACTGACGAACCAAAATGAATTATAGTGAGCTAGATAAACATGTAATGGAAGTATAATAAAAGAAAAAAGTGTGTACAGGACGACCAAACACGGCAGGCACATGTAATTAAAATGTAGAAATATCAAGCCTAAGATTTTTAATAGTTGTATTGAAACAATTAAGCCAAGAATTATATCTTGTTGCGCATAAGTTATTTAATCAACTTCTTTCAATAGTGGAAAACTTAGCTTTAAGAATACTATAGTGTCATAAACAGTAAATGCTGAGCGAGATGTATACAAAGCAATAGGGGAGATAAAAAAAATTCATACCATCAACTCTTGTCCGTCGACACTTAGTTTATTGAGTAGCCGCAGTGCACGAAGAACCCCTTCAGCAGACTCAAATTCACAAAATCCATAACCTTTTAAAGTTCCATTTGTGGGATCTTGAGGACGTTTCCAACTCTTGACAGGTCCACACAGCTTAAGAAAATGAAAAGGTCAGACTTCATTGATATGAGTGCCAAAAGTCAAAAGTGGGGAATACAAATTTGAGCCCAAGAAGTAGTACAAGAAGAAGAAAGAAGGGCGAGGGAAAATGGAAAGGATGGAGTCACATACTTGCAGGAGAGAGAGGATGAAATCATTTTCCACTGTTGATGATATCTTGCCCACATAAACAGTTGTCTGTGGCTTTTCTGATGGTGTAACACTTGGGACGGCAGGTGGCCTAATAAAGGGAGAAGTAATTGGCCCACGTATCCCAGCAACTGGAGGACGTAACATTGGTGGAATAACACCCATTGGTCGTGGAGGAAATGCAGGTCGAATCATTGGTGCATATGGAGAGGGATATCGAAGAACTCCTGCACAAAGAAAACACAAAAATCTATGCAGATTTGTCAGAGTATGTTTACAAAATAGTACAATTAGAATGTTCTTAAATTTCACTGAAAAGGAGACAAAAAATAATCTAACAAGAAAAATCAGCTGATGTTACCCAAACTATTAAAAGTAATATGAGATGGCAGAAATGGCATGGCAACACTCACCAGTTGAACAAATAACCTGAATGCACATCAAGACAATAACACTGAGACTCATAAACCAGGAATATGTGAGCTAGGCATACCTTATGCATCCACTTGCAGAACAGTAGCTTTGACAAAACTATCCCAATTTCAAGCACCAAAGGTGAAGATTTGAAATCAGTAGTGAGATGAGATTTCCAATCTCCCATTCACAAGTCCCACCAAAACAATTGAGGGCGGCATAAACAATGAAAAAGGATCTCGTAGGAATCAAAATAAATGCAAAGAAACAAAATCCAAACTGACCGATTCTCACTGGAGTCATAATAAATGCAAAGAAACAAAATCAAAATTGCATGGTTGAGAAGATTGTGATACCTTGTATGATAGAGGCAAAGGAGCACTCAGTTGTTAACTTAATGCGCTGCCGGCGATTCAGAAATCAAAATCCCATAAAGGGGCTATACATCCTTATGACTACTAGCCTACTAAATGAACATAGAACAATCAAATAATATTTATTGTGACAATTGGGAGAATCACATTTTTTAGCCTATGACAGTGTCGTGGAATTCGGAAACTATTTTCTCATCGTTTTTGTTTTTATGCATCAGAACTCAGAAGAATAAATATTACCATATTTCTAAAATATACGTACGCCAAATAAAGATTAACAAATAAAATGCGTGCATACCAAAAAAGGAGTTGAACCATGGGGTAGTCAGTGGTCCCTAATGAAGCCCTCCAACTTTTTTCACCGTAATCAATCATGAGAACACTGTAGGAGAAAACATCCCGTCATCGATACCCCTAATCCAACCAACACATATCCCTCTCCACCCCCATTTTACTCTCATTCTTCTCCTTTTAGTAGCACGTCATAACATATTACACTATACAAATGAAGCGTAAACAAACAAGAAGCATCAAAAGTTCACTTTTTCACATAAATTATAGTAATTTTTTTTACTTATTTCCCGCTAAGTGCTTTGATCCCATGAAATTCCAGATTATCATAACAAACCATAAACATTTGAAAAACATGATATCCAGAGGCGGTTATACAAATACATACATACAGATAAGAGATGAGAACAATTGAGAAAGAGACTTAGATGCTGAAAAAAAAACCCACCCGGAAGAGGCATGGCTCCATGGGGAAGGGGCTGAGGTATCCCCGGGTAACCATTAGGCATGGGTGCATAGGGTCTCATCGGCTGACCGGGCACAGTATAAGGCGCCATCATCATATGCATCGAAGCTACCGGAGCTTGCGGCACCCCACTCCCAGCCGCCGGTGCTGGAGGCATCCCCATATGCGTTACGCCGCTCACTCCTGGCGGTGGAACTCCAGGTGTCTGATAATTGACGGTCAGCACTGGCGTGAATTGAGGAGTGACTACAGCGGGGGGCGGTGCCGCAGGACGGAAGGACGGCTGGATCAATGGAGGCGGAGGAGCTAGAACTGACGACGGTGGCGGCGTGTTAGGGTTAGGATTTGGAGGTGGGGCTGACATTATGGAAGGTGGATCGGGTTGGGCAGGTTTTTCCGCAATCTGCTTATCGGGTTCTGGTTGAGTCGGATTCGCGGCGGTATTTTCCGGCGCGGTTGTTGCTTCCGCCATTGCTAAGCTTTACCTCACCTACTGGGTTTATGATTTGGGCCTAAATACTCTATGCAGATTTTAGGGCAAAATTGGTTTAAGAAATAAATTTATGCCTTTTTTAGATCACAATGCGTTCATTTATACTTGGTTCGTGCACACTTTGTGAGGTGAGCCACATCATATTACATTTGTCTTAAATGGGAGAAGAATGCTCGGGGTACAATGATTTTGACATCATTGATGACAACATGTCCCTTGACATGATGTCATTGGATAATTTAAAAAAACAGAAAGGCTCCTTGTACAGTTCTTAGTGAACTGTATATTTACAGCCCACACTAATTACCCCTTGTACAGTTCTTAGTGGACTGTACATGTAGCATACTTCTTTAAAAAATAATTCATCATTTCAACTAATATTTTTTTGCCACAATCAAAATTGTGAACAATGTTGTACAAAAACATTGTACAAATAGCATAATTCTAATGGGAGACCGAAAAAAAGGTAATGCTACTCATAGTTGAGAGATATCGTCTAAAATTGGTTGTCCAACTCGTTACTTGTGCCTTAAAATAGGTGTATAATAATATGTCAATAAATTATTGGTGGATAGCAAATTAAACATCCGAGTTTTGACAACAGATCTCAACTCTACTATTCATCATCATTGGTGTTAAGAACTAATTTAAATGACAATTATATAGCATTATATGACATATTCATTTAAATAGAAAGTTGTATGACTCATTTAATTAAATTAATAAAGTGTAGCCATTTAGACAGGTGCTCTAACATTAGTGGGGATGAATAACATTATTTTCAAAAAAAATGGTATTAGCAGCACCTGTAAACTGCCTTATACAATTCATCTGTACAAACATTTTTATTCATCTACCGATGTTCAATTGTGACATTTGAAATTTTCCAAAATTTATATTTGAAGCAAATCTTTTTAACTATTTCTCTCCAATAATGGATAATATTAAACGAAAGGATGGTGTGGTGTAATCAAATGGTTTCCTTATTACAATAATTTTAAGAATCTCAATCTCGAAGTTGCAGACTAATCGTAGTTTGGATTGCGGCTAATGATAATCTTGGTTCAGGTCAATTGCAAGAGGGTAATGACGATTTTGTTCTTTCCTCTTTTATATTTATTTGAGCCCCTGTTTGGTCCCCATTATATTACATTCCATTACATTAATTTTTTCTCTCTCTTCATCTCAACCATACATTTATCAAATAAAATAATAATACACACAAATCTAAAACTTTTCAACCACACATCTCCCATCAATCACTATTCTAAAAATTTTCAACCCCCTAAAAATCTACAATAATGGGGGCCAAACAGGGGCTAAAGGAGTTGATTTAATGGGGGGCAAACAGGGGCTGATTTAACATTTTTCAATCTGTATCTCATCATTTGGGTAAAACATTTTCCTTTACGTTTAGAAATAATGTGTCATTTGTTTTGACGTCATTTGAATGTGAATCAGTGTTGCTTTCAATTTATCGATTGATGTTTGGATTTTACTATCGATAGTATTGATTACTTTATCGTGGGATGCGACTTACGAAATCATTAGGTTAGAGTGACTTGCGTTGCATTATTAATGTGTACTATAAAATTCTTTGAATGTTAGTTCGATCATGTCTTTATGTGACCTAATTGAAACTTTTAATTCAAATGTTTGTGATTGTAAGTTGTGACATTTATTCTATAATGCCCTTTTATATCATTTCCGTGACCATTTATCTTCTGTACAAAATGGTATGACTCCTATAATCTAACGTGCTCATTTATGTGACTTGTGCTGTTCTTGATTAATATGCTGATTTTCGACCTGTATTATTTCCGCGACAATGCATGTGACATATGATGTCTCCATTTGTGTGACCTTCAAAGTGCTTATGCAATCTTTCTTACTCTCTCCATGTATACGTGATATTTTACAAGATAGAATAATTTCAATATATCTTCATAACTTGGACAGATATTTTTAACTTTACCAAATTAAAGTCATTTTTAACTTTTGTACAGATAAAGTCATATAAAAACTTGAAATTAAAATAAAATGATTTTTTTAAAAATAAAAATAAAAATTATATTTAATAAACTAAAGTCAAATAAAAGACTTTTAAAAAAAATTAAAAAATATCGTAAAGCGCGCCGAAGAAAGACGAAAGAGAAGAAGGAATAAATTTAGTCGTTTAGAAATTGGAAAAAAAGAAGGGGAGAGAGAGAGAGACGTTTTGCCCGAATTTCGAGCCTATGCAGTGCTTAGGCGCCGCCTAAACAAACTTTTTAGAACACTACATTTAAGCATAGTTGCTCGTCTAAGGTTTCAGGGCAAAAGGAGAAGCAGTTTCAATTGCTCATGTGCCAATTTTGGGTGACGTAATGTTAATTGATCCTCCATTCTTGTACGTCGTAGAATGCACTGCAAGAGAGAATAAGACCATGAATATCAAAGAAGGTCACGACATTTTTTAGGTTACACGCTCTATGTACTTCGTTGTTTCTAGCACTCTGGAACATCTTCGAAATTAAGAAATTTGAGACCGGCCCAGCATCGAGGTCCAGGATATGATACGATCCATCTGAACTAATTTTCTTGACATGGAGATAGTTCTAGTTTTTCATATTCGGCATCCAACAGACTGCTAACCAAAGCTAAAATTTATATCATAAAGTAGTTACAATACTGCTAGAATTGTGCCATTTTCGAACTGTTTCAAGGATCCTAGTTACAACTTACAACATAATGCTTCAGTTAAGAAAAACTACAAATAAACCTGACAATATGGGCATTTTGGGTTAAGACATCATAAGGTCTTTTACTTAATATATAGTCGAGTACAAGCCTATCATCCCCCGCCAAACATGCTATCAATGAATTATATGACCCAAAACCAAGACAAAACAGAACCAATTGCCAGACCAACCACTAAATACAAAACAAGCACAATCCCTGCAGTCTCTGCATGTTGCAACTGGACAGTTTTCGGAGTCAAAATCATTAACACACAGGTAAAGTAACCATTTGTTAGTCCCAGAAGACAGGTCAATACCGTAACCGGAATTTCTGTTCTGAAAATTTCAGGCCCATGTAAGCAGCCGTAGAACAGCGGAAGAAATAACAACCTTGCAAAGGAGGCACCTATTGCGACTTTCGCATTCTCTATGAGATATAATGGAGTCAAAGACTTACCAATCAGATCAAAGACATTATAGCCCGCGACCAAAATGATCGGGTACCAATCCTTGAGAATCTCAGAGCTCACATCCTCTGTAACAGATCCAGGAAAAATACTCAATGTCACAACATAGATAATCAGGATTCCGCACCCATACCATTTTATTGTTCCAACGACGTCCCATAAGGTTGATCTCCATAGCTTTCCAGTTAAGTCACCTTTCTCCTCGTTCTCCTCGTTTACAGCCTGAGTTTTCAGATCATTATAGTACTTGATTACAGGAAGTCTATGTGCCACATTGTAGAAAATAATGTTTAATAACATCACCACAATGCTGACAATAAAATAAAGATTGGCACTTTGTCTCAGTCCATGAGCATCTTGAGGATATATAGCTTTTGTTAGAACTCGTAAAACTGACACAAGGACGCCTGCAGTCCAAAACAAAAGACAAATTATCTCGCTGCTGGATATCTATATGTTAGCCCTTTTACAAGAGTGAAACCAACACACAGAATAATCATTGAATTTGCATGAGGAAATACCGAAGTAACTTCTGCATTTCCCCTCGAAAACGAGAAAACTGGACTGTAGGCCAAAATGAGATCGCAATATGAAAGGTATTGATTTTCATTTGTATTAACGACAAGATACAGAACTCTCACTTTCTTGTATGTGTATCTAAAGTTTTGAAACTTGAGGCGTACGCAGGAGTAACCACTATCTTATCACTTGGCCCAAGTACACATTGATATATACTCTTACTAGACAATGAGGTCTCTTTTGCCGTTTTTGGACCAAAAGGGGGCAGTTGGAGTTGGGTCACAGTACAATTTTGGCATCTAAAGAAAATAGTGTTAGAAAATAGTTCCAAAAATTGTCAATCAACTATTTATCTAAAATTACTTGACCCTTACGTTTTCTATACATTCTTCAACACCAAAATACGTGTCCATCACAGCTATTGGAGAACCACTGTCAGTGTGTCCGTACTCAATACAACCATCAAATCACAGAACTGTTAGCTTGATTATGCAATTTACATCGCTATAATACCATGCTCAGTATAATTAGAGAAAACCGAGTGTGACTTTCGTTAAAAGCAAATAGCAGAAGAGCACATATGTTAGTAGTCCCCATGCAGAGGCGACTTCTTAAAGCTACTTTATATCACATTAAGTTGTTAACTATAGGTGCTACTTTAGGTTTTTGCAACTAATACTTGTGATATAGCTCTTCTTTACACTCAAACATTAATGAAAGTGCAAAAGCGGTCATAACTGTTCTTGTTTTAGAACAAATAAAGAAAGAAACTACTTCTACTTTGCATATTTCTACAATTATCTATGGCATTGTTTAGCTGAGCAAACAAACATCTTTGGCTCTTGCATGTGGACACTTGAAGAGGAATTTATCGTACGAAATGAATTTTTTTTGCAGTCAAAATTTAAATTGCATGAAGTGTAGAGAAATTTATCAAACACTTCCTTTTACATCACTATATATGAACAAGAAAAGGGACTGAAAGGAAGCAATGCAAGTCACAGCAACATTTTGAGAAATCACTAGTTAGTAAAATTAGGAGTCGAGGAGGAGGTAGCAATGATGTCACTTCTTGAAAGATAATTGGGCACAAACCGTGGACGAAGTTGATCAAATCTGATCCTTCAAATATCAAAATTACATCCCAACTAACAGGCAGCAGCCATCTAAGAGCAGACAAAGCAATAATAAAAAAATCACATTTCATCTAATGTTACTGAAACTTCTCATAGCGCTGCACAACACAAGGATCGACTGATCGTTGTATGTCAACAACTGGTATTGATCTAAGTGAGAAGCAAAGATACAGATAGGGGATGCAAACTGAGTGGGGTAAGACGTTCCTTTGGCACTAAATAGGAATGCCTCAAGGCCCTCAACAAATCCGATTGATAGGTTCGACGTCAAATTATAGAACATGCAGGGCTTCTATCCACAGCCAATCAATAGATTCCTATATCATTCAACCCCTCACAAATACAACTAAATAGTAAAACAATGATAGAACATTAAGTTATTCAGTTCACATGTTTGAGAAGAAAAAGCTAGCCATCTTAGTTAAGTAAGCCTAAACTTGTCTCCAAAGGAATGTGCAGATCTAACAACCAATAATTCCAAAGATTTTATATTTTCTTTATATCTTAATTCAAATCCCACCTAACAGTCAGTCCAAAGGCCACGAAAACCAATTCACCAGAGCTAAGTCAACCCCGGTGGCTAACAAGGAAAATACCATTTGCACAAAAAATAAAAAATAAATAAAATAAAAATTGCTAGAGTAGATAAAAGCAACATTTCAAGGCAAAAAAAATCCGAGTCTTTTCATATTCTTGACTAAAATCAAATCAATTTATCCGCTAAAAGCAACCCACATAAAAACCAAAAGCTATGGATAAGAAAAATGATATTCTAATATAACCAAAAAACAAAAATTTACCAGAAGCAGCAGTGCCAGCTACCACAGCCTGCATGTACCTCTCAGGCAACTCCCCAGCATTCCCAACGACACCTCCTTGCACCAATCCATCAGCAACCCCACACAGCCCCACTGCTGCCACCGTCACATAGTATCCAACATACACTCCAACTCTTCCCTTTATGTACCAAACATCCATCAAAGGCACCGTCAAGAGCGCGATCACAAATAGCACCATTCCCAGATTAATTCTCACAAATGAATTCGATTTGTGAGCAAATGCCACTATGAAAAGCAAGCTCGTAAGCCCTATCAGCATATACACTATAGCGAATACACGGTCAACAGAGACATCAGGGTATAGGTAGCTGAAGTAATCAACGACTGTGATGAATGCGTTCCAGGGGAGAAGGTAGCCTGCCCCCAATGTGAAGTAGATTATGTAGGCCATGTTGAAATTGTCTTTGGGGATATTTTGGGGATTGGTAGAGGATGTTTTGGGTATTAACAGAGTGGCTGATTCCGAGTCGCCATCTACTGCGGCGGAGGAGGCCGTGGTAACGATACCCATCGGTGTCGGTGATTAATGGTGGTTCCGGCGAGGACTTGGGGGTTTGGAATTTGAATCTGCTAGACAATGGGGAACATCAAATTGGGTATACTCTGTTTTCTTGGAGAGAAATTGGGAACTCTCCGATTTCTTTATGTATAGTTAACTCACCGCACTCGATGAATTAAAGAAATTGTTATTAACTTACGATTTTGGCTATAACTGGATGTGATTGGATTTAATTAACAGGAGAGAAGTTGGTACTAATATTATTTTTTTTAATATAATTAAATACCAGTGAGGAATGAACCACATGGAACGGTCAAAATTTTTAAGTATAACTGGATGTGATTGGATTTAATTAACAGGAGAGAAGTTGGTACTAATATTATTTTTTTAATATAATTAAATACCAGTGAGGAATGAACCACATGGAACGGTCAAAATTTTTAAGTGAACCCTCAATATTTGAAAACCGGTTATTTGGTCCCTTTAATTTAGATAACTCGAAATTAAGCATCTTCTATCAATTGAACTATTCCCTCACATTAGAAAAAAGAAGATATCCATTGGTTATCCACCGCCGGACCATTTTCTAATTTAGATTCTTCTAAGGTCTACTATAATTATCAATAAATTGATCCGCCTATGTAGAGATGTTGCTCTACTTCGAAGAGTTGGGTATGAGTCATATCTTTGATCAAGATTTCAAGAATCAAGTAGTCACCGCCTAACTTGAAAGCTACAAAACCCTCGATAATTTATACAAAGTAAATTCTTTACCTTTATTCATTTCATCTTTTGTTCGCGTCAACAAATTGAAATTAAAATTTTAAGTTTGTAAAAAAAAAAAAAACACGAAAGGTGTCCAAGTGTCAATTTTCTCAAACCTAAAGGAGTTTCTAATATAAAAAAATCTCCCTAAGAATGGAACTCTTTAATTCTTGAATCAAAGGCAAATCAACTGTCATTTTCCCAAATATTTTATATATCTTATTATTTGTTGTGAATCATGTGACCTGTCAATTATTGTACTCGTTGGACAAATTACTTGTAAAGGCTACTAAGAGGCTTGAATTCAGATAAAAAATTGTGTGACATTTTTTGTAATGAGCATATGCTTTTCCTATCTGTGCATCATTAGCTTGCATCTTGTTCACTGTAGAGTTGAGTCCCAAAATGAAGTTATTTTTTTATCCACAATGATTCGAACCCAAGACTTCTCCGCACGACAAAAAAGATTACTACAATCAGAATTTTAGGATCGGATTAGAGTGGTGGAAGACCCAATTGCAAGAAGATGAGTCTGTTGGCACTTAGCAGACTTAGAACTGTGACTTGGGAGAGACTGCGAAAAGCATCGAAGGATCAATCTCTTTTGTGCAATACTGCATAAATTGTACGAGCCAGTGCCAAAATGATGTAAACAAGACAAAATGGAAATCTCAGTGGTTATTATATTTTTTTTGTTCTATAGATGAAAAGACGTACGGAAAAAAAAAGAAGAAAAAAAGACCCTTGTATGGTTCGACACTCCAAAGCTAACTTCTCTCATTTTCTCTATAACGAAAACATTGTGTCATGAATGTCTAAAGCATTGAAAATGTTCTTAGATATTTCAGTAAACTTTAAGCAAAATAAGTGATAAGTAGACGAAAAAAATAACAACAACAACAATAATTGTGAGAAAAGCAGCTTGACGTCTCAATTAAAGTTTGAAATGAATCCGTCAAATCTTTTACTTCTCCTTTTCTCACCTTTTTATGCAGTACTGACTGGTCTTCATTTTTTGTGAGAATTGTGAACTTTGGTCATCATAATTTCCATTTTTTTTTTCCAACTTTTTCTTTATGTACAAGCGAATGCACAAAGTGGAAATTGAAAGCTAGTATTTTTATTTTTTCCCCCTTTCTGTTCATTTCATTGAGCACTTGATATATACCCCCATTTGGCCCTCATTATTCGTAATTTTAATGGTTGAAATAATTTTTTTTTTGAAAAATGTGTGATTTGAAAAGAAGAAAAGATTTTAGAATTATTTGATATTATTTTATTGAAAAATGTATAGTTAATAAGAAGAGACAAAAATAAATTATAATTTTAGTGGGGATCACACACACATATATATGAAATCTATTTTAACAAATACATTAAAAAAATTAAGAGCTTGTTTGTGAGGGATTAAAATCAGATTAAAATTGGAAATATAGCCGTTGGAGTTGACTTTTATTAGACGAGTGAGACTCAATAACGACTATATTTTCAATTTTAATTCAATTTTAATCATTCCCAAACAAGCTCTAAGCAAGTACAAACCAGTTCTCTGCCATAGCAATATATATTTGTGTTTCCCCCCACAACCCGCCCCCTTTATCACATACCCTTTAAAAATGTAATGATTTTCCTATTTTTATCTCAATTTTCGAGATTATTACGTGATATAAAAAAAAGTTGAAATATTATATTTTTAATATTATTTCCTGCAAAACGGCCAACCTTAGCAAATGTTACAATGCATCAAAGTAGGCCTTTTCGAACTAGTATTTCAAGAATTTCGATAACATGCTAACTTTAAAAATTCATTAACGGTTGTACGCTAACTGAATCCACAAATCACCTATGTCATCTTGAAGCTTGTTTCGAAAACTATATCGTAAATATATCGAATGGTCCAAATAGATATAGTTTGGACATCGAAAATAATTAAATGATTATTTCAAAAAGAGACGTATACCTCTTCTTTTCTTTAAAATTTTTCAATTATTTCATTAACGTTTATTATTTTTGTACGACAAATTTTTTAATATTATTAATATTATTTTATTACGATATTTTTACATGGGTATAATGTCAAAAATCTTCGACTCATTAAAATATAATAAATTAATATTAAATAAGCTCAAGTTCGAATTATTTTTTTCTTATTAGAACAAATTATGAAAATAAAAACGTGGATTGATAAAGGGATGAGGTGTAGGGGATGAGTGAGTAAAAATGGAAAAGGTCGTTGGGGCGGGGTGTAGGGGGAAAAGCAAATATATACGGTAAAAAAACAACAAATATTCGACGTTGATCGTCACGTCAGCGGTGAAAAGACTATTCTGCAAGAAAGTAATGTGTTTTCTTTTTAATAATTTATGCTTTTTGATTTAAACACAGTTCAAAATGGGTAATGACTTAATCTTGATATCACTTATTTTTGAAATGTTCATGCATTAGACTTTGATGAACAAAATAATTTGATTAGTACTTGAGGGACATGAGAAATGCAAAATTAAAATAAATAATTTATTATGTATGTAATAGTTTAATCTTTAGAACCAGGCTTATTGGTACAAAACTACCCTACGTTTGATAGTTATTGTGCAAAATGTCCTTACGTTTCATTTTTTTGCATTTTCGTCCTTATTTCAACGTTTTGTTACGGCAAACGTCATTTTCCCTATTTTTCAATGTAAAATGACCAATATACCATCATATTTAAATAAAACAAAAATAAAAGAAAAGAAAAATAAAAAAATAAATTGCAATTATACTCCCAAACTTTTTAAAAGGTGCAAATGAGTCCAAAAGGCTTATTAAAAGGCTTAAGCACAAAATATCTCTACGTTTGACACTTATTGCGAAAAACGTCCTTACGTTTCAAACTTTTTGTACTTTGCTCAATAGCATAAAACGTCCTTACGTTTGACACCTATTGCGTAAAACGTCCTTACGTTTCATTTATTTTGCATTTTTGTTCTTATTTCAATGTTTCATTGCGGAAAACGTCATTTTCACTATTTTGCAATGTAAAACGACCAATATACTCTCATATTTAAAGCCTTGAGCAAAACTCAGTTGTAGAGAGAAAACACCAACATCTTCTCAATGTGGCAAGGGTATTGTTCTTCCAACCCCGGTTTCCTATTCAATTATAGGGTAAATGCATACTCACAACCACCTTTCTAATCAATAGGACACCGATTCTGCAAAAATAAAATTCCTTTCTATCTTCTCTATAAGTCCCAAGTCCAATACCAGTCTCTTATAGTTTTTGGCAACTTGTACTTTGCTTATACCTTATCATCTCATCTCATCTCCAGATTCTCATCTAAGAGCCAGGACATATGTTTTTGTTGGATATCCTCCTGGTTAGTTTCCAATATTCGAAATACTGATCACTTCAAAAACCTTATTTGTTTCAAGAGATGTCAAGTTTCATGAGCTTATTTTTCTTTCTACACTATCTCTTATGATAATGAACCGATCGATCCTTTTCCTGAATTTGTTTTGCCAAAATCAGACACCGATATTGTTCATAACACTGAAACTATTTCACCATATAACAATGCACTTATGCCTTATGTCATCAGCCCAGATATTAGTCATGAAACTATTGTCACTATACCTCCTCACTCCAACTCAAATTCGGAATCAAGTTCTTCCATAATACCAACTCCTAGAAGATCACAGAGAACACACAAAACACCATCATATCTCTAAGAATATCACTGCAATTTGCTAACAAATACCTCCATTTGATCATCATACTCAGTACCCCATTAGTAAATATCTATCCTATCAAAAATTCTCACCTTCCCATCGCACCTATCTTTGCAACATTTCTTTCAATTACGAGCCACAATTCTATCACCATGTAGTTAAGTTTGATAATTGGAGAAAAGCCATGGAAACTGAGTTGTAAGCAATGGAGTAAAATGACACTTGGTCAGTTGTTCATCTGCCTAAAGACAAACACTCCATAGGCTGCAAATGAGTGTTTAAAATAAACATCAATCAGATGGTAGCGTTGATAGATATAAGGCACGTTTTGTAGCAAAAGGTTATACTCAACGAGAAGGCCTGGACTTTATTGAAACCTTTTCTCTTGTAGCTAAGTTGGTTACAGTCAAAATGTTTCTTGCAGTTGCAGCCACTAATAAGTGGCAGATCATTCAATTGGATGTGAATAATGCATTTTTAAATGGTGATCTCTTTAAAGAAATCTATATGGACTTACCTTTGGGGTATATTAAACATGGCAATACAGATGCACAAGGAGAAATGTCGGTATGTAAATTACACAAATCAATATATGGCTTAAAACAAGCCCCAAGACAGTGGTTTTCAAAATCCTCTAATGTTCTTATTGCACATGGTTTCAATCCATCCAAAGCTGACTATTCTTTGTTTACAGAGGGTTCTAAAGATACATTTGTTGCCTTATTAGTCTATGTTGATGATATCATCATCATTGGTCAGATTTGAAGACAATTTCAAGATCATCAGCAGATGCCGAATATCGTGCTTTAGCAGCTACAACCAGTGAGCTCGTTTGGATCCATCAGCTGCTGTAAGACTTTCAGGTGATAGTTAACTCTCCTGCGCTCAACTTTTGTGCCAACCAAGCTACTATACACATTGTCGGTAATCCAATTTTATATGAACGAACTAAGCACATTGAAATAGGTTGTCACTTCATTTGTGATAAGATTAATGAGGGTTTTGTCAAAGTCCTTCCAGTTAGAACACAACACCAGTTGGCTGATATATTCACTAAACCCCTTCCTGCGACTTCATTATTCCCTCTATTATCCAAGATGGCTATCATCAATCCTCGTTGCCCATCTTGAGGCGGAGTAACATAATCTAGCTCATCTCATCTCCAGCTCATTATCTCGCCAGCTTCATCTTGCCAACTCCAGCTCAACTTTCACCAACTTCATCCAACTAAAATTAGTTAGCAGTTCAGTTAGTTAGCAATGCAAGTTGATAATGTAAAATTAATTGGTTTAGTTAGTTCAAAATTTGATTCCTATTTATAGACGATGTAATACACTTGTACATGAGACTTTTCTCAAATTTTCAATACAATTCTTTCTTCTTCATTTCAATAGTTCGGGTTCGTGGCATTGGCTTCATACATACGGAACTCGNATATATATATATATATATATATATATATGTGTGGTTATCATGATGCTGGTTTACAGTTCAAGAATGATCTTGTAAGTAGTATAGCCAAGAACATTTGGATAGGGAGATGAGGTTTAAACAAAGAAAAAGAAGATTCAACAAAGCAATTGTGTGAGGATAAGGGAACAAATCCTAAAGTAGCTGACACATTTGAGCTTAGAGAATTAGAAAACACAATCTTCATTAATGATCAAGCCTAGGAAAAGGGTAAGATTCGCGATTCATCTCGAAAATCGATAGAGATGTTCGTAAAGAGTTGGGCGAACTGATGGAAGCTAGGGAAGCCAACATAACCTACTTTTTGGGACACTCGCGAGAGCAAAGCAAGGCTTAAATCTACTGAAGAAGATTGTTATAAATTTTGGGTATGATTTTTTGAAGGGGAATTGCAGGACATAACCTATGCATTAAGTGTATCTCATGCCTCAACATTAGAATTGGAAGCAGTGTATCATATATGATACGGTATTTTTCTTTAATAAATTCGAAGTCGTACATGGATAATTTTTTTATCTGGATGGTTGCTAGACAAAACTAGATCGCGTGTTCAGATACGAGAAGATTGAATTAAAAAAGAATATTCATTAAAGAAATTTTTCTAGTGTTTGTATACTAAAAGAACATATTTAAGGGTTTCAAATATTAAAAAAAGCAAAAAGCAAAATCTAAAATTCATGAAGATTAGCTATAAAGCTAGAAAAAAACACACAGAGTGACAAAACAACTGAAAAAAAAGGGACTTTTAAAGGCCAATATACAAATTTTCACAAAATTTAAGGACCATTTATGAAATTTACTGATTTATGCGACCTTGGTAACTTTGAGAATGACTTGCCAGGAACTAACTTCTAGACGAGGATTGGCCCGAACTTCAATATTTCATGCTGGCTCAACATGACTCGAGATTAAGCTTGAGGACTACTAAAACGAGCACTCAAGTTCGATTTTTGCTACTTTATATTGGTCGTGTAGAGTTTTTATTGATAAAATGAAACATATTCATTGACGTATATCAACATTTTCATCCTCCCGTCTCACATCTGCTTGGTCCAATCGAGACAAAGATTAGTAATGTGGTCCCTGAATTTTTTGTTTATTTTTAAACTGTATTGAAGAAATTAATAAATGGAGTCCAGTCCCATTCTAATATCCAAAGGAAATAGATAATTATTATTAAATTCGATGTTTAATTTCTTTAATAAAACAAAATTATTGTAAGATTGCATTTTTTTCTCACTACAAAAGCAATGATTCTCTCTTCACTCTCCACATGACCGCAGCCCACTGAGCCTTTTTCTCTCTCTTCTGTCTCTTTCATCTTTTTCTCACTCTCTTCAGCCATTTCACCCTCTCACTCACTCACTCATCCTCAAAAAACCCTTCACTTTTTTCCCTTCTTTTCTCTTTTCATCAAGAATCTAAAAAACCCACATAGGGTTTTACTTTCAAGCAAATGCAGAGCTTCAGCCTCCTTTAATGGCATTTAAAATGGGAAGAAATATTCTCGTGTTGCTCTTCACGATTCTGCTGCTTTTTGGTGGCATTTGTTCTGTTTCAGCTGGTGTTTATTCTGTTTCAGCTATTTCCTCACCTACCAGTAAGTAGTTCTATACGCGCATTTATATGCATATGATTCTTGAACCAATTTATTTTTGGGAATGGACCAAGATGTGTGTGCAACTGTTTACCATTGTGTTTTGTGGGCAGGAATTGTAAATGGGTTTTTCTCAAATGCATTTTCTATGCTGATGAAATGGATTTTATCGCTCAAGGCAACTACTAAAACAGGTAAAGAGGGATCTCCCTCTTTGAATTTGATTCATTGTTCTTTATGTTTTTTATAGTCTTCTATTTGTTTGATTTTCTTGTTTCGTGACAGCAATATCTGGGCGTCCAATGATGAAATTTGAGAGTGGGTACACAGTGGAGACAGTGTTTGATGGAAGCAAACTTGGCATTGAGCCACATTCTGTTGAAGTTTTGCCCAATGGGGACCTTCTCATTTTGGATTCTTCTAACAGCAATCTTTACAAGATCTCTTCATCTCTGTCCCTATGTATGTCCTAAACCAGCATTCGTTATTTGTGAATTTTTTAGATTACTTTATTGAGTATTGAGTGTACGTGGGCGCTCGTGGTGCACGAGCATTGTTTGTGTCATTGCAGCATATTTATTGTTTATTGGCCCATACTTTGACCTTTTGCTTCTATTTAAAGTGATTTGCCAACTGTTAGCAATATATGGAACTTGATATACATGTTGAGGTTGAGCTGCTGATGTTAGCGAGATGGGCCTTCTTGGCCTCTGAATAATGTATTTTTCATCCTTGTTTTACTGGGAATGATTCATTACAATGAGCTGAATGGTTCAAGTGATAATAACAATTACCCATTTAGGAAGTGCATTATGTTATGATAAATCTTTGATGCTTCCGGTTTTTTATTTTCTATGATTCGTGAATGTTGCTGCTTGTTTGAGATGCTGACTGCATTAAAAGTGTAGCTTCTCCACGAATTTGAAATTGAAGCTATGCACGCGTAATCCTTTTTAACATAAAGGTGGTGTGGGAGAGGGTTGGAGTTGGTGATAATGAGGTAAAAGGAAATTGAGTGAACCAGAGAGCATGTCTTGGGGGTTGATTGTTCAAGTTAATGAGTTTAGTCACGCTGATAGTGCGATGCTTGGCACTCAGACTCATGTTCGCGACCTTTTCTCTCCTCTAGAATGTCCTTTCATTTCCCGTCCTTTTCTCCATGTGCTCATTCACACGGACTTAACTTATGGTAAATTTCGGAAATTGCAGATAGCAGGCCAAAGCTGATTACAGGGTCAGCTGATGGATACTCTGGATATGTGGATGGAAAATTGCGAGAAGCTAGAATGAATCATCCAAAAGGACTTACAGTGGATGATGGAGGAAATGTTTACATTGCCGACACGGATAATATGTCAATCAGGAAGATAAGTGATACCGGTGATTATTCTTGATCTGTCTTTGAGCGACCATAGTAATGATTTTTGTTTCGTGTACACGTTATGGTCTACAGACCAGCATTCTGATAACCGTTTTGACTGAATAAAAATTAGGGCTTGTTTGAGTCCCATTTTTCCAAAAAATGCATTTTGTAATAGTGTTATGATGGAGAATGTGTGCTTAAAAATTAAGGAAAAAATTTGGGTTTACGTGTAATATTATTTTATTAAACAATGTGTGGTTGAAATTGAATCAAATCACTGTTCAAAAATACGTTTTGATGAGAAAATGGGGCTCAAACAATGGCTTGGCTTCATTTTGTATTTTGACAATATAACAACTTATTCATAGAACATGCTTGCATTTTTTAATTATCTTGTATAACGACTGCATGAAGTAAGTGGTCACTTATCCCGTTTTCTGTGAGACACCTTTTTATTATAGGGGTATATTGCTTTTGTACTGGGGTCGCCCTAGTTCCGATGTCATGGAAAATGGTTTTTTTTTTTTCCTGCATGTGTGAGATAAGACAGAGGTGTGAGATCTTGCATTGGTAAAAACTTCTTCTTTATCGATTATCAAATCTGTAGCAGCTAGTGGACATAGGTCTTGCATTTAGGGTGAACGCCTTCAACTGTGCGCTCATGTACACCATCTGTTTTCTTTTCCATTTTGTTATTGTATTCTGTAAGAAAGAAGACTAGTTAATTGACAGTTATAAAATATTGCAGTTTGTTTTAATAATATCTATTGTGATTGACTTTTTTTCTCTAGGAGTGACAACCATTGCAGGAGGTAAATGGAGTCGGGGAAATGGACATGTGGATGGACCAAGTGGAGATGCAAAATTTTCAAATGATTTCGATGTGGTCTATATAGGAAGTAGTTGCTCTCTCCTCGTTATAGATAGAGGAAATAAAGCTATTCGTGAAATACAACTCCACTTTGATGATTGTGCTTATCAGTATGGAAGTAGTTTTCCCCTTGGTAAAATATTTGAAATCGTATTATTCCCTTTAGTTCGTTCCAAGTAACACTTTATATGACTAGTTAATTACTGCAGGTATTGCGGTGCTTATAGCAGCTGGCTTCTTTGGTTATATGTTAGCATTGCTCCAACGAAGAGTTGGTTCAATTGTATCTTCTCAAGATGTAAGTTCCACACACCCTGATGATCCTATACTGTTAGTTAAAAAAAGTTAATGTTGCTTTTAATTAACTTTACGTTATCAAATATGTTAGAATATATTACTTCTAGGAAAAAATAGTTACTCTGAAGCAACTGTTACCTTACTATCAAAATAAGTAATTATATGCTAAAACTTCTCTAATCTTTGAATATTAAACCCCCAACTCTTCTGGTGAAAATTGCTACCCAATGACAATAAGAAAATGCGAAGAAGAGTACTGTGTATCTTTGCTTGTATGCTCCTTGTGATCCAACTCTTACCTTCAGTTATTTTTCTTTAAAGGAGCAAGAAATCTTGAAAGCAGGTACTGTAAATCAGAATCCGTACCAGAGGCAGCTGAAGTCATCAGTAAGGCCAACACTGATCCCGACCGAAGACGAGCAGGAGAAACTCGAAGAAAGCTTTTTCGGGTCTTTAGGGAGATTGGTTGCACAAACTGGAGCATCTGCTGCTGAAATTCTTGGAGGAGTTTTTCCTGTGTTCAAAAGGAATCAATATAATCATCAGTATCAAAACCAAGTACAACAGCAGAAGTATTCAAATACTTGGCCTGTACAACAAGATAGCTTTGTTATACCGGATGAAGACGAGCCCCCTTCCATTGAGACCAGGACCCCGACTCCTCGAAAAACCTATGCCTTCATGTCCACAGATTCTGAGAAAATGCAACGACTTAAACAAAGTCGTGCTTTCTACAACGGATGGGAAGGTGACCTCCAGAATCAGCAAACTCAGAGAAAACATCATCATCGATATCATTCGTCCATACCTCAAACTTGCTATGAACAAACCTCGGAGAAGACTAGTGAGATTGTGTTTGGAGCAGTTCAGGAGCAAGAAGGGCAGCCCAGTGTTGTAATAAAGCCCCTTGAAAATGTGATCCCATCGTATGATGTTTCTAACATTCGTGCTCGACCCAACTATCCCCATGGACGTTGATTTTTATAAACCATTGCTTCCTCAAGATTACTTCTTCATGGCTAAAAGGTCACGTATATCATATATTCGTAGTGCTAAGTTTGCCGTAATAGTGAAAATCTATTTGTAGTCTTGGAGAGAAAATGTTTTTCAAGTGTCCAATGAAAATGGATTATCTTATATTCGATGCTCTATTTTATTTACTTTTCCGTTAGTCAAACTAATAAATATGGACAGAATGACCGATGAGAATGAAGTTTCGCCCGAACAGCCTCTTAGATGCCTTCTTGTGTAAAGACAGACAATTGTCACTTGGGAAAATGCCGCTCAAATAGGGTCAATAACCGACCCAAAAACAAGGAGCTGAGGTGCCATCTCCTTGGCTCTTCAAATCAAGGGCCGAAGAGATGGCACCTCAGCTCCCTGTTTTTGGGTCGGTCCCCTCACCCTGTTTGAGGAGCACGGTTCTTGTTTCTTGTTTAAAGGTTGCAAGGAAATTGATAGATCCAATGTTTGCTAATGTCGTATATAGAAAAAATCAATTTGGGTTACATCGAGAAGCTTTTAGGACAAGACATTTTATTTAGTACCAACTTAACTCTTGCACAGGAATGTCTGTAAAAAATATTTTAGTTTATTTCAGATCATGGCAGTATTGGTACAAGTACAAGAATCCAAGGCACATGTGCACGTCACCAGGAAAAGTTAAGTTTAAAAGTTGGAATTAATAAAAAATTACTATGCCAATCATGTGTGTTAGAAACTAGTAAATATTTAATTAATTTAAAAAATGCCACTATCTTGTAACATGAATCCAAAATATTGAAGAGTAGATCGTGAATTTGGCCATGCTAAATTGATGTCAATGCACATGAAATGAATTTGTGAGTGGAGATCAATGGTGGGACCAAATGAGGGTGCAAGTTGAAGTTATGTTTTCTTTATTTATTATGAACGAGGGGATCGAGATATACTTGCATCTTGTCTGGAATCGAAATTCTATTGTTGTTATTTTACATGATTACAATTATTTATGATTGCGATGCGTGTTTGCTTATGAGCGAGTTCGAAGGTGCTTTTATGTTAGAGTGTAACGAAGGGATCCTCTTAAGACAAGATCAAGATAGAAGAATTATTGCACCCAATTTGATGATTTTCTGAATTGGGTTGTCGGTTCCTTAACACCGCATTTGATTTAAGCGAGACGATGTAAATCGGTCTAGTTGTTCAAATACCATCAATCTATATGGCTAGCTTGCAGATTGATGTAGGGGGCAATACATGTTGTTGAAGCTCTGCCCATGTGCAACAATGAAGAGAAAGTGGTTGGCAACTAGCTTCTTGGGCTTATTGTTGGTGTGCCCCAGCCCATTTAAAGCTCACTTTGTTTAGTCTTTAACCTCTATGGGCTAGACGGGTAGTCCAAATCACGTGTAACGTGCTCCAAACATTGGGTAAGGTAAATGTCAGCAGGGGTCATTGAACTTTCAAAGAAAGCTCAATTGGGTTACAAAACTTCTGTTTGTCTTAATTGAGTCAGGTGGCTTTAATTTAGTTTCAATTTGGTCACTAACTTCAATTTAGTTTCAAATTTCACCACCTCTCCACGTGATGTCTACCCAATTGATGAAACTTTAGCAGTTATACAGCAACATATCTTCCACGTAAGACATATGAATTAGCACTACCATATGTTATAAAATTGTTAAAAAAAAAAAAAAAAGATGTAGACCTATGCATGAATTGATAAACGATCACACGGTTGAAATCTTGTTGATCTCAAATGAATAATGGGACTTGACTTTTTAGTTACTGTTGATTTCTAATAATACCAAAAATTTAGGCATTAAAGATTCGTTAATTCTTTTTATTAATATTTTTAATAAAAAGATTCAGCCCTTGTTTAATAAAAATTAGAATTCAGATTTTAATTTAAGTTAAAATCAATAATTAATTTCAACCACACATTTTACATGATTCACAACTTTTCAATCATATATTTTATCAACTTTTATCAAAATTTATTGAAAATCTAATTTCAATCTACATCAGAGAGGGGCTCAACATGATTGTTTTGTCTGCTAATATAACACAAAACCTAATAACCCAACTTAATCATAATTGTGCACTTGTCCCTAAACTTATACTAAATAATAAATTAGGCCCTAAACACATATGGCTTGTTTGGTAGGGATTCTCATTTTGCTACAGTAAATCAATTTTCATTTTTAACCACACATTTTTCAATAAAATAATATTTTTTATCACATCAATAATATTTTTTTCTTTTTCAACCACATATTTCCCATCATATTACTATTCAAAATCAATTCTTCACAAAAAAATCCATACCAAACAAGCTATAAGTGTTGATTAAACAAATAAAATTCAATTCAGCCTTGTTTGAGCCCAATTTTTGGTAAAAGAAAGGAGTTTTGGAATAGTTTTTTTTTGAGAGTGTGTTGTTAAACAATAATGAAAACTTTTTGATTTACGTGTAATACAATTTTCTTAAAGAATGTGTGATTGAAAAATAAGAAAGATAAAAATATATATTAAAATTAATAGAGCACAAACATGGACTTAACCTGAAGATATTGTTACAATCCATAACCCTATTTGATACATTTTTTTTAAACTCATTTTTAAAAACATGTTTTTTCAATGAAATAATTTTGCACGTGGAGTCATAATTTTTTCATAAAAAAAAAAAAAAAACCCTTTTACAAAATTTATTCCAAAAAAATTTGAATCAAACAAACCCATAATGATTATGTGGAAAATCATCAAAAACAAGATAACTAAACAATTTTTGTCAAATTTGAGACTACATGTGACAAATCGTGATATAGCAGTAAATATAAAAATAAAATTAAAGTTTAGCAACTCAAGTATAGCAAATTAAGCCCCTTTTTTTTTGCTATTATTTTGTGAAAATCGAATTTTGAATAGTGATTTTTAGAGAATATGTGGTTAAAATTAGAAATTTTTTTGAATTTAAGTGCAAAATATGTTATGGCGTAAACGTGTGATTTAAAATGAATATGAAAATTAAAAAATTTTGAAATAATGATTGTCAAATAGGGCTAAAATTTAGGGATTCAATTGAAATGTTGTTAAAATTCAGTTACTATGGATGAAAGTTAACCCGAATTTTTTTTAGCCCTCGTTTGAGTACCATTTTGGCGAGAAAATGCATTTTGGAATATTGATTTTTTTGAAAATGTGTCGTTAAAAAAGAAGTATAAAATTTTGATTCACGTATAAAATTATTTTACCGACGAATTTTGAAAAAAATGAATTTTTGGAAAAATTAGAACCAAACGTTGGCTTAAATGAACTTTCACATTAGATGGAAGTGGGTATTTTAGAAGGGACCGTCCTTTAATATAAAATAAAATAAATAAAGAAAATAAAAGGAAGAAGAACAAAATTTTCCACTTTCATATTCGAGATCGAAATTTGGGTCCTTACATAATTTTACCACCCCCGGATCTCAGTTTCGCCTTGTCACTCGGTGATCCCATCTGGGCTTGTGAAATTTTACAGTAGGTGTGCAAGAATCATTAGTACAGCTGGATCTGGTAGAGCTATCCCGGAGTTTCAAAACGGACCCAATCATGAATCCATTTTCCTCGGGCACCCGCCTGAGGTTAGTCGTCAATTTCTTTCCGTTTCTTTTGAATGTTTTGCATTTTCTTAGAATTTTATTGGATCAGGTATAAAAATTTCCAACCGAGTCCTTGTGATTGCTTGTAATTGCTTTATTTCTGCTTGAATTTCCGTGTGTTAACTATGATTCAATGGTTTTATTTTAAATAATGGATAATGAGTCACTTAGTTCTCATTTTACGAGGATTTAATGGGATGAATGCTCGAATGATAGCTTGAGGAAATGAAAAAACCTTTATTTGTGTCCGTGGAACGAGTTAACTGTAAGAACGGAGTCTGTTTATTAATACTTAAATGGCATGAGTATTGACTTTCTGAAAAGTTATAAAGGTGAATTATACTGATAGTGAATGGATGAATTGATCAATAGTTAACGAGAATATAATTTGATAGTGATTCGGGATTTATGTATTCTATTGTTCTTGAAGTTTAATATTGTTTGTTGTTAACTAGACCAACTCAAACTATTATTTGACGTTGAAAATAAGAGTTTTGATGTATCTAGGAATTGGTTATTAGCTCATTGAATATACTATTGAAAGTACCAATGTGATAAGTTAGGCCTCTGTAGACATTAACCACCTGTGGTGCCTATATTATATGCTACATACTGATACCGCCCACTTGTAACCTTAGAGATTTTGAAGAAGTGATGTTTGGTGTTAGCATCAGTGAAAGAAAATTGAAAGAAGCTAACAAAAGAAACAAAAATAGTATAGAAAAAGGTTTATGGATATCGACGTTGGATGGTCTGATGCTAATTGCGATTCGTCTTGTCTATTGGGAAAATGACATAAAACTCATAGCATTGTGTTTAAGATGTTGGGGATGATTACTCTTTGGTAGAATAGGATGTTGAAGGGGAGATGTCGGATGGTAGTAGGTTATGCTGTTTTTAGACATTTATGATGAAAGTGGAGCCCAAGTTTTCTATATCAGCCTCTTAATATACTTTTAGCTTTAGATATTTACTTCTGCATCTAGACAGTGAGGATAATACCTATAAAGGAAGAATAAAGTTTGGGGGTGGACAAAAAATAATTACACAGTTTGGGGATTTTATTTTTTTGGAACTTCATATGGTCCTAACAAGGAAAAATTAAAGGAGTAGAGTATGAGAATTGGAAAAAAAAAATTGGGTAGAAGAGAGTCATCTGGAACATCATGAAGAAAAACTTGGGCTCAGACAAGTCTAGGCTCATAAGAAGTTTATTGCGAGCTCAAAATGATTTTGTAAAGGTAATAGCTAAATGTGTTGTATATGAGACATGAAACAAGATTTCATGTGGCCTTTTATCTCTGATAAGATAGACTGAGCTTTACAAATTGAGCTAATTAGAACAGTCATT